TTGCCATTTTTAAAAGTTGTCATTTATCTCTCAGATTTACAAAAATAAAAAAGTTCAAGCAAACATCTCCTATTCTCTATCATTTCTTCAGCATCCAATTAATACTACATCTTATGCATTAAACTGGATAGAGTACATTAGTTTATTCTATACTACCACAACAGGGTCGCTATGAGTCGGAACCGACTCCACGGCACATAACAACAACAAACCACAATATGTAAAAATCAAACAAATATACTGTCATGTACTCAAGCTTCAAACTGATGAAAAATTGGTGGAATCTAGAAAAAAAATTCAAACATATAATTAACAACTGATATTTTCTTGTGATTTCAAATTTATAAAACTTAGATTTATTTCTCATTACTGCACATTGCAATCACATGAAGCTTGATACTCAGAAAGATTAAGTCATTAGTTCCCAAATTTAACTATCAAAACTACCTAGAATATTTAAAAACAAATATCTGTTCCTATAGTGTTGGTTGTTGTTTTTAGGTGCCATCAAGTATCTACTCATAAGAGACTTTATGTACAAAATGAAACACTGTCCAGTCCTGAGCCAGCTTATCAATTGTTGTTAATTTTAAGCCATTTGTTGCTGCCAGTGTGTCAGTCCATCACATTGGCAATCTTCCTCTTTTTCACTGGCCCTCCACTTTACCAAGTATGATATACTTCTCCAGGGACTGATCCCACCTGACAAAATATTTATGTATGAAAGATACAGTCCCACCATGATCACTTCTAAGGAGCATTCTGGTTGTATTTCTTCCAAGACATATTTGTTGGTTCTTGTAGCAGTCCATAGTACTTGCAAAACTCTTCACAACATCAAAACTTAATGCATCATTTCATCTATTATCTCCCTTATTCATTGTCCAACTTTCACATGCAAATGTTGTTGTTCTTGTTAGGTGCCAATTCATAGCTACCTAATGCACAACAGATGAAACACTGTCCTACCCTGTGTGAACCTAACAATTGTCATTACCCTTCAGCCAATTGCTGCTGGCAGTGTGTTAATCCATCTCATTGTTGTTGTTAAGTACTGCCGAGTCGGATCCGACCTATAGCGACAGGGTTTCCTAAGAGCGACTGGTGAGCTTGAACTGCCGACCTTGCAGTTCAAACGGCTTTGCAGTCTGGTGCATTAACCCACAGCACCACAACAACCCATCTCATTGGGGCGGGGGGGGGGGGGGGGGGGGGGGGGGAGTGAGTCTTCTTTTTCCCTGACCTTCTACCTTACCCTGGTGCACAAACCTTTCCTGATTTTAAACCATTAAGTGTCCCCTTGTTCTGTTTGAAGGATTGCCTCTTTTCTATGTACAGGTTCCTCAGGAGCACAATTAAGTATTCCAGTTATAACCATTCTCTGCAACATTGTTCATAGTTTGCTGGAGCTCTGGTAGCATAGTGGTTACGAATTGGGCTGCGAACCTTAAGGTCAGCAGTTCGAAACTACCAGCTGCTCCATAGGAGAAAGATGAGGATTTCTGCTCCCGTAAACATTTACCACCTCAGAAACCCTGTATAGGGTCGCTATGAGTCGGAACCCATTCCACGGCACACAACAACAACAACACAGTCAAAAGATTTTATACTGTCAATAAAGCACAGCTAAACTCCAATACAGATTTCAAAATCCTCTTTCTGGACCCCTAAACCTCTCCCAATGTGACTTTTATAGTTTAACTCTCATTATTCTCCTCAAGTATTCTATCTTGACCTCACCCCTAGATTACTCTTTACTTTAACAAGCTCTAAATTTACTATCTTCAGGTCTTTGATGTCTTCTTTATCTAAAATAAAATGCCTTTTCTCACCCCTTGCAATGATGAAAGTTCATCAAATTCTTCAAGGCCTATATAGAACAAGTGCTGTATAAAGTCCTTCTATTACCTTACATCACTGCAGATATGTTCAATGTCTAATGGAGATGAACTACAGTACATATAAACACAGGACACCCTGATCCTATTTTTAGTAGCACTGTCACATTAAATAATCCAGATGCTTACAACTTGTGAGAAACAAGGTTTGCAACTACTTAACGCGCACACTGGCAATAAAATGAATGCTTCTGGTCTTCATCTCCATAGATGTCAAGTTAAAAAGCCATTCAATTTTTGAACAGGTGGCAAAAGCAAATGTCTAAGACACCTTTTTGTTTTTGAAGGAAAAGAAAATGATCTTGACTACATGGATTCAAAATAAATTATACAGATTGTACAGTATTTGTAAAGCATTTGAAAACAATGTTCTTTTCATGGACATTTTTTGTTATTCATATTCTTTAAGACCATATACAACAATGTGATTAACTCTAGTGACATCTACTGTTTGAAGAAATATGATCCAATTGATCAATCTGAGGTTCCCAGCTCATAGACTATGTTCTGATGTGATACTAAAGCTGAGTTAATCAACAATGTATGTGATGAAAATTCATCCATTAAATAAAACAAGAAACAAAATTATTTTATTCCTAAATTTTTTGGATTAATTCCAACAGGCATATTCTATAAATCTAAAAATACGTGAAGGTAAAAATGGGGATAATGATATTGTTTTGTTAAGTGCCATCAAGTTGGTTCCGACCCATAACGACCTCGTATAGGGTTTCTAAGGAGCGGCTGGTAAGCTTGAACTACCAACCTTGTGGTTCAAACCAACTTTGCAGTCCAGTGCATTAACCCACAGCACCACACCAGGACTCCAGAGATAATAATATATCCCTTTAATTTCTAATGAAGCACTAGTGGTATTATGGGTAATGCATTGGTCTGCTAACCTCAAGGTCAGGAGTTTGAATCCACCAGTTGCTCTGCATAAGAAAGATGAGGCTGTCTACGCCTGTACAGATTTATAGCCATATAGATCCTAGGGGCAGTTCTACTCTGTCTGAAAGGTTAATATGATTTCAAAATCCACTCGATGGTAGTGGTAATGTGTATAATATAAAAATACAGCACCAGAGATGGAGGTAGAGATGGGGGCATGGAGGACTCTAGATTCATCAACTAAGAAGAGAAGGACTAAGAACTGGTGGCCAGGAGCAGACTTGCAGAATGTGCCCTTTGGAGATGTAATTTATTATATATACCTGAGTGGGTTTTGTTTTGTTTTGTTTTGTTTTTAAAAAAGCTAAAGTGGATAAAAAGAAATACTTTTAACTGATGGTATATGGAGGGGATTATAATCAATGTAATGAAACAAGTTATATGAATTGTTGAATGTGAAACTGATGATGTGCCCTGTAAACTTTCACTCAATCCACAATAAAAACCTTAAATTAAAAAAAAAAAAAAAAAAAAAATATATATATATATATATATATACTCATTTAGTCTACATAAATAAATTGAAGTTCAAGTTTCTTTGTGCCAGTGTGGAAACAGAGGCTACATTAGAATAAGAAGAATCTTTGAAGTTTTGTTGTTGACATAAGAAATTCTGAAATCTGTGTGAGACAAAAATAACAGAAAATTACAAACCGATTGTGTAATTTTTTCAAGGCCAGGATGAAACCATACCTATATGGTCTCATCAATTGTATATAAAGAATCCCTTCCTTTTTTGTTCAAATCAGCATTTTATAAGCTGAAAATTAATCAATCCAATGGCAAAATTTTGTATCACATTGTTAAGTGCTGTCAAGTTGGTTTAGACTCATTGTGACCCAGTAGATGGTATTCAAGAAGCAGCTGGTGGGTTTGAACCACCCACTTGTGGTTGGCAGTCCATTTCTTATCCTACAGAGCCACACCAGGATTCCTTTGTACCTTATTCTATAAATAATATGAATGAAACTTTCCTCCAATTAAGTTAGTGGAAAAATATAAAATCTTCTATGGATATTTGACTAGATTTCCCAGTAGCGTTTTTACCATGAATTTTACAGGCTTCCTCAAACAAAAGTAAAAAAAGAAAAAAAGGAAGACAGAAAAACTTTTAAGGAAGGGAAGGAATTAAAAAGGAAAGAAAAGAAAGGGGTAGGAGAGAGCTGACTGAGTATCTTAAATGTTTACCTTACCTTATACTTCATTTCCGCACATGTCTGTCAGTTGTTCATACTGTGGTGGCTTGTGTGCTGCTGTGGTGCTGGACGTTTAAGCCATGAGCATTTCAAATACCAGCAGGGACACCCACAGTGAGGAGGTTTCAGTGAAGCTTCCAGACTAAAAACAGGACCTCAAGCTTGATAAAATAGAGGGTAGGCAAAAAAACAGAGGAAGACTTCCAACAAAGTGGATTGGT